AACGGCTGCTTTTTGCAGCAGTTAAACTAGCATTTCTCAAAGTGGATTCTGCCTTCCACCAGCCACGGGAGGTTCTTTTCCAACAAAGGTTTCTATGGCCAAATGCATTTGAGGGAGGTTTCCATATGATCCCCAAAATGCCCCCAGTTTCTTGAAAGTGATAAGCCTATTAGCACAGCCAAGGTTCTGAGAAGTCAGTCCTGCAGGACACAGAAAGCCGTGTAGTCATATTTCCTTAACTACTTGACTATGAAACTTTTTTCAGACATAAACATATTGCTTCCAGGGGCATCTGTATTCTAATAAAATCTTAGAAAGCAATTCCACGTGAAATATCTACTGGTATAATTCTTAGGCCCTAAGATAGAAGCGGGAGAAAGAGTTTCAAACAGCGGTGGGGTTTTCTTGGTCCAGCTGCCTCCCTCTAACTTAGCCATTCTCATCATTCTAAGAAGTTTCAACTGGATTGTAAATTCCCCCTGGCTGGGGACCATAGCACCTCTGTGCAGGACTGAGCATACAGCTGGCGATTAATAAATGCTTAGTGACTGATTCATCCTTTGCTCCTCCTAGGCGAGCATTCGTAGCTCCCATCTTCCTTGGTTTTCACCCCAATAGGCAGAAGCGGGCTATGGGTCTAGAAACCCTCAAGAGGAGAGGGCCTTCGATTTGAGCACATAGAACCCAACGGTGGCACATCCTCCTCGAATCCCCACAAGCAGGTGGGTCTATTCCTCAGATGACAAGATGACCCCCACCCTGAGTTCTCTGCCCCGCTGCAGGCCAGGCCAGGCCAAGCCTTACTGTGCTATCCTGAAGGTACTGCTCCCAGATCCCGGCCGTCAGCCCGTGTCCAGCATCGCAGGGCAAGTCTGGAGACACGATCATGTGATTGACCAGGGCTGACAGGTGTGTCCTCACGGTGGACAGGTGTCTGCAGTAGGCCAGCCCTGCCAGGGGAGGGAGAGAGAGGGTCATCATCCAGCACCCAGCCCTCCTCGCCGGGTCTCACAGAGTCTCCAACGTGCTGTCCACAATCTCCATGAACCCTCATGACCCAGGAAATTCTCATCACCCCCCTTTTCCAGATAAAGAAGGTTAGGCTCGGAGGGGTAAGGTCACTCATTGGTTTGACTGCTTCATAGCTCTGGGACCCTGGGGAGGTCCGATCACCTATCTCAGCCTTGGTCAGGGTGACACCAGCTCCTATGCTGGAAGCCAAGGCATTTAATTCACAGGCTGGAGGCAGAGAAGGGGCAGGCGAATGGCTCTGCGGGCTCACTGCGCCTCTGGGTGCCTCCAGTCCATGCCAAGATGGAAAGAGAACGGGTGGAAGACTCATGTTCGAATTGCTGGATAGAGAAGGTCCTGGTGAGGCATAACCGAGAAGATGCTGAGGCCACCCGGTTTGCTTTCAAAGATGGCCCTGCACTCTTAAAGGAATGCCCGCCAACCTGCCACCCTTGACCCGCTGCACCCTGGGCACCTGGAAGGCACAGGACATTGCCCGACACACAGAGGCACTCAGCAAACACCAGCTTGTTGGTTTTGACTGTGCCCCTTCCTTCTGTCTCTCCCCCACCACTCCATCCTGAGCTCCCACAGAGGTCCCTGGACCTTCCAGAGCCTGAGGACTCGCGAGCCTGAGGACTCGCCTCCACCAACAATGGGGATGATCACGATGATGATGATAGAATGGCTAATGTTTGTACAGCCCACACTATGTGCCAGGGAGCTGTTCCTGGAGCTTACACAACTTACCTCATTTAATTCGCACCACAACCCGATGAAACAGATACTCTTATTATCCCCATCTTACAGATAGGAACACGGAGGCACGGACTGGCATCATCACTTGCCCAAGTCCTTTTGCTAAGAAGTATGGAGTTGGGATTTGAACCCAAGCTGCCTGGCTCCAGATCCTGGGCTCTAGACCATCATCAGGGACCAGCCACACTGCGTGATGACAGCATTCGAGACACCATCTCAATACCCACCCCTTCCTCCAGGAAGTAATTCCATTCGGGTTCCATAAATACTCAGCCAAGGCCTGCTCCATGCCAGGCCCTGCATTAGGCAGAACCAGCAGACCTTGACCTTGGGGAGCTCACGCTCTCCCTGCCTCTCCGGCACTCGTAGATAATGACCTACTATTTCGCAGGCCCATGCACGATGTATTAACACGTTTCTAGAATCCCTGAAAATACACACGTTTTCTCTACCCCATCTAGGTTTGTAAGGCTAGGGAAATAAAACCTGCTAAGAATCAATACAGCAGAGTGCAAAAACAGAGCCTTGGCAGTCAGGCAGGCCTGAGTTCGAATCCCAGCTCTGTTGCTTATGAGCTGTGTGACCTTGGCCGAGTCACATCGCCTCCCTGTGCCTTAGTTTCCAAACCCGATAAATGGAAATAATCAGAGTACTTGTATTATAAATTTACTTTTTAAGTTTTGGGGAAGGGATCAGGCCACTTTACTCTTCTGCTTCTGCCCACAGAAGAAAGGAACTGGCATTTATTGAGAAGCTATGATATGCAATGCCAGGTGCTGGGGCATTTATACCTGCTTCTCATTCAATCCTGAAAACAGACCCTCTAAGGTGGGCACTGGGAATGCAACAGTGATTAAACCAAACCCCTGCCACCAAGGAACCCCGTCGTTCACGGCCCTCTCTGAGGACCAAGGGATAAAATTCATCCCCAATCTGTAGATGAGCAAAGTGAGGCTCAGAGAGCTTAATGGAACGTCACCAAAAACAGACATCTAGGCTCCTCCCCCTGATGGTGCTGGCATGCAGCAGGCACTCGATAAATGCTCCCTGGGTACCACCATGGCAAATAAGGACAATACGCACATCCATAGAAGGCTCTGGAAAGGATCTGGTACTTCATGTTGTCACAGAGAAGCTTCAGTGGAGCCCTGCAGGCAGAAAAATCGGGAGACACTTAAGACAGATCCACACACAGCCCAGGTGTCCTGGGGAGGAGCACAACTCGCTATCTCTAGGAGCAGATTCAAACCAGCCCATCAAGGGGACTGCGGGGGTGTTGTTTCTGCCCATATGGCCTCACTGCCCCATCTGCTATCGGCTGGGAGCCCCCTCCCCCGCACCCCTACCGGCCCCGCCAACTCTCTGTTTCTATGTTTTGGGCAGGGCTGATTCCACCCAGGTTCAGTGATTGGGTCAGAGATGGTTATGTGATCCAACCTGAGCCAATGACAGTCAGCCCTGGGACTTTTATTGGAACAACTAGGAAACAAGACAGTCTTTTCTCTGTTTGAGTTCCTAAGCCAGTGGGATATGGGGCAGTGCCTGCTGGGATCCATTTTTGCCACTGCAGAGAAGGGCCTGCAGAGAATGACACCATTACAGTGGCAAGCAGAGGCACGAGCTAAAGCAAGACGTCCTGTTTTGAATATCTGGATCCAGCCATGCCTGAAGCCACAAGGCCTCTGGAACTCTCAGCTGTGCCAACAGATTCTCTTTTTGACTTGAGCCAGTGTGAAATGGGTTTCTGACACTTTCAGAAAGCATTCTAACTTATAAAATGACCCAGATGAACCAAACTGAGCCAAACTGGGATTCAGAGTCTGGCTGACTGCAAAGTAGGTGATGCCTCCGAGAGTCTCCTTGCATGGGAGTTTTGAGGGGGCCTTTTTTCCGACTGAAAGAGGAGAGTGGAGTAAGGCCCCAGCATTGTTGAAGAAAACAAGGGCTGCTGAAGGGAGGGCTGTGCATTCTTGCAAAAAACAGAGTAGAGGAAAAACATCCCAAGGGAAACCCAGGAAAATCCGGGGAGGCTGGGGAGAGGAGGCATGGCTGAAGTCCTCCAGTTACGCACATGGAGGCATTAAACATTAAAGCCACCCTCTTTATGCTTTCAGGGTGGTGAGGCTCAGGCTTGCTCAGATTACATGAGAACAGCACCACGACAGCTGCCCCACATTGCACTTGGCTATCTGCAAGGCGGTGAGCTCCCCGTCACTCCAGGTGTGTAAGCAAATGCAGTGAGAGGGGGTACTAGGTTAGAACAGCATTCTTCAATGATCCATGGACCAGCACCCCATGAAGCACTTGGAATTTCTCCAACACATGGATTTCTAGGCCCTGCACAGACCTACTCAATCAGGACCTCCTGGAAGTAGTTCAGGAACCAGTATGTTTTGCTGCCCTCTCCAGGTGACTGATGCACATTAAGATGTGAGACTGGTTACATCAGTGCTTCTCAGACTTAAAAATACAAACTTGATCTTGGAAACTTGTTAACTGCAGATTCTGCTTCAGTGGGTCTGGGATGAAGGACTAGAACCTGCTCAGCTGATGATGCTGCTGGTCCACAGACCACCCATTGAAAGCCAGGGCTTCGATGACCTCAAAAATTTGATGCCAGCTCCCACACTCCTACGGCTGGAGACTGGACCACCCACGGGAACAGAGGCCCAGCAAGGAAAAAAGCATTCCACTCTCCCAGGCCAGGCCAGGCCAGGCTGGGTCAGTGGGAAACAAGACCACTCATATGAGTGGGCTGTGCTGTTCTGAAGAGACTAAAGTGTTACAGGCAAGGAAAGAGATGGTCTGGGAATTGAACGTCATACAATAAAATAACAAGTGTCATTTACGGAACATTAGCATGTGCCAGCTACCACCTGCTGGCTACCTGAAATCATTATTTGATTTGTCCTTACAACAGCTATGTAATGTAAGTGTGAGTGGCCCCATTGATGGAGGAGCAAAGTGAGGCACGTGTGGTTGTCGTAAGGAACGTTTCTGGTTTCTGTCTTCCAGGAGCATAGGAGGACTGTGCTTCCGGGCCCCTGGTGGACTGGGCCAATGAGGTGTGAGTGGAAACGGCAGGTGCTACATTCGGGCCGGAGCATTTTATTGTTGGTCCGAGCCCCTCCAGAACTACCTCTCCCTCTGTCACTGTGACTGGCAATACTCAGCATGGTGGCTGCTCCCTCAGCCGGGCTCTTTCATGTAGAAGCAGGGTCCCTAGCTGACCCATGATAGATATACGACATGCGTGATAAATAGACCTTTGCTGTAATAAGCCACTGGGGCTGTTTGTTACTGCGACATACTGTGTTTATCCTGACTGATACATGTAAGGACGTTCCAACAGCTAGGACTCTGCACGGCTAGGATTTAACCGAGACCTGGGTGATTCCGTAGCTTATGTTCACACCTCTGAAGACAGTGCACGGCAAGCAATGGGTAGCTATAAACGTTCAGGAAACCCTTCTGTTCCCTCCGCCCACAGCTCAGGCCCCTCATACCTCTCGTGGTTGCAGCCATTGGTGGAGCCACCATCAGCCGAGCCACCCTGTGAACAAGATGAGCAGGAGGACTTGCGGGGACTGGGTTGCCACAGAGATGGCAGGTTGCTCACAGAGACATCCATCAGGTCCTGGGGGACTGCGGTGGGTAGAAGGGGCAGAGGAAAAGCCCTGGTTAAGCCTGTGTGCTTACAGAAACCTCACCCCAGAGCAAGCAGCTCCATCCCAGGCCAGCACAGAGATAGACCCTGAATGTCACAGGAGGAAACAGTGACCCCAATCATTGTCTGACCCAGGTCCTGGAGCCCATCTGATACAATGAAAGCCACCACCAAGATTTGGGGCCACCAGCAGACGGGCAGTGCTGAATGACAGATAAAGAGAGAGAAATAGGAAAGGGAGGGGGAGGAGGGAGAGAGACCAGAGCCAAGAAAACAGGCCCGATCCCAGAGCAGGAGGCCAAGCCTCACCATGTTGTCATTCAGCTGTCCTCATGGGAAGCTGACAGAAAGAAAGGGGGGCCTGCTGGGGGTTTCTGGGAAGGGCTGATGGTCTCAAGTCCCCAGGGATAGACTCTGGTGGGGGTCCCTTGGGTTAGGACAACGGGGCCTTACTCCACCAATCAGCGGAGGAAGGCAAAACAGGGGAAGGGCCCCGGCGGAGGGTCTTTTTTTTGCCCCCACCCAATGAGGGCACCTGCGCTGTCCATGGTCCTGACCCATACAGCTGCTCCACCAACCAGGTCTCAAACAGGTTGGCGACCCCCCAGAATCATGTGGGAGCTTGTTAAAAAGCCGTAAGCCTGTGTCCCACCCCTGACCTACTGAATTAAAACCTCCTGGAGATACAGCCCTTGAGTCTGTATTTCAAAAACAATTTTGATGTAACAGCCACGTTTGAGAACCAAGAGGGCATGACTGATCTCCTAACTCCTGGACATTAGTGAGTCCTGATCAACGGCTCCCAGGATACAGCACTTATAGTTTCCTTTACTGTTGTTGCTTTCCCAGCTCCATGAAAACCACAGCATCTGCAATGCTGCAGAACAAACATACCGGTGACATACGCATTACAATTTCTATAGTTAACTTCCTGGCCTCGGCAATTCTAGAAAGGTGCAAACATTTTATTTTCTCTAAGACAGGGCTTGGCAAATATTTCCTGTAAAGGGCCAGGTAGAAAATATTTTTGAGTTTGCGAGCCATCTGGTCGCTATTATAACCACTCAATGCTGCTGTCGTAGTGCAAATGTAGCCATAAACAAAATGAAATCAAATGAGCGTGTGTTCTAATAAAACTTTACTGATGGGCACTGAAATGTGAGTTTCATATCGTTTTCATCTGTCACACAATATTCTTCTTCTTTTGATTTTCCCCCCAGTTATTTAAAAACATAAAAACCATTCTCAGCTCACGGGCTGTATAGAATGAGGCTGGATTTGGCCTTTGGACCATAGTTCACCAAGCCGTGCTCTAGAAAACTAAGGGGGTGCATATTTTCCCCATGTGCCATGTGTCCTCAAGGACGATTGATAATACTTGGCCTCTTCCCTCAGGCTCCAAAGGGAGGGGGAATTGTGGACCTGGCCCCCCTTGTCATTAGAGCTCAGCAGTTGACAGGGTCCGCCCCCTACCCAGTGACAGGGTAGAAAGCAGCCTACAGAATGAGGTTTTAGGGGTCACCAAAAGTGGCTTGTTATACGAGTCCTCCCCACACAGACTCACCAATGAGCTGGCCAAGAAAGACCAGTAAGCCCCTATAAAATGTTCTAGACAAAGTCCTAGCTCTTAGCCAATCCCAGGGAAGCGCTGATCAGTGGCACCCAGGTGTGGCAAGCATGCCTCTGCCCCCAGCCCCTCCCACCGGCAGACATCACCAATGGATCCCTTTGCTACTGAACCCACAACACTCCAACCTGAGTCCTGCAGGGAGGAGGCTAGACAGCATAAGGGCATCAGTTTGTCTTCTGCCTCCATCTCCACTGGGACAAAGACTCAAATGACAACATGGCAGAGGTGGCTGGCACCCAGGCCCAGGGGTGGGGGCGCCCAGACATTACTGGGGGGCTGTTGCTTCAAGTCTGGCGTGGGGAAGGTGGCCTCCCTTCTGGTGTGTGCCCACCGACTGCCCTTGGCTACCACCAGCACAGACTGGCCCACAGGAACCACCGTCCAGGCAGGGCCCACGGAGACAGGGGAAGTGCTGCATGAGGGATCGGGAACAACTTGAGACACAAAACAAAAAGCAATGGTGAAATGGAAGGTCTGAGGTAGGCGAAACACTGAGATGGCCAAAAGAATCAATTCCTCAGGGCTTGAACCCTTCCCCTGCCCTCCTCCCACTCATTGTGTTTGATCAGAGGAAGAAAGAATGCTGATCTTCATCAAGTGCCTACTATGTGCTGGGGGCCATGCTAGGCAGAGGATTGCTGTCTCATCCTTAATGAGCTTGGAAGGGACGCATTTC